CCCGCCAGTGCCTCTGATCACAACTTCTATTTCTTCTTGAACATCCTCTACATCCTCACGATCAATCGTTTTCCTTGTTCGATTGAAATTTTTTCTTGTGCATGGAATATTATTTTGTGTAATTACCACTTGATTCCTGCGACTTTGTTGACAGAATTGTGAAAGCGAGGCAAAATAATTTACCTAATATCCCATAATCGTTAGAAAATGCATAAATGACGTAACAGGATGTGATGCAGTACTCTATCAATCTGAGATTATGATGAGCGAATATAATTGCATTAAACTGTATTTCTAATGAAACAGCAGGTGAAATAAAGAACTGAATGTGGTTCATTGACATAAATCATCAATGTAAATCTCATAAATACCTGAATGAATTAGTAAGAGTAATAAAAGTAATGATGGAATGCCGAGCTGGCGATGCCAGAAGAATGGAATGCGAACATACATAAGGCAGCAACCAAACCAGGTGGCCATCGAGATAACTACTGGCAACCGTAGTGAATGAGAGGAAGAAGTGAAAGTAGGCTGCTGCGTTGTTGGTAAGAGACTACTCATCATTATCAGTCTATCCTCATCCTCATTCTCCTCCTCATCATCAAGGCACGGCACACACCAAGTGCTGCCGTCCGGATTGAATTACGGGTTGCGCCGATTAGATGGTTGGTTGTTTGGATAGATGGATGAATGGTCTCGTCTCATCTCATCAAGTTGCATCTCGTTCCATCTCATCTCCTACTATCTGCCAGTCATCTATCTCAACCACAACCACAAACCAGTGAAAGCGATCTAAAGAAATCTAATCCATGCGTCGCCGCGGCCTTTCATTCATCTCATCACCATCCATACATACATCCTATCAATCACAACAGGCAAACGCTGCTCGACAGGTATCAATACCTGCAACTAGTGAAGTGCTAACTCAAACTACTTTCTTAATAATCTTACAATTACATGTGGTTGCCTCTATAGTGGTAGTAGTTATAGTTAGTTGGTTAATGCTCACGGCTAAAGCTGTGACTTGTTAAAGGCAAATGGTTGATGCACGTAGGTGCATAGTGCGCACGAAATGAGATGAATATGGCGATAATAATATTTCTGATAACAGTAATAGTAATAACAACAATATACTAAGAATTAAGTCCAACTAGCCTATGTCCGTCAAAGATGTTATACCTAGTAATAAGCAGTGGCGATAGAAGCATTAACTGAACCAGCACAAAAGCGTTGCTCGCTTCACCACTCTGCTCTACTAATTAATCAATGCGTGCACAGCCCAAGGCTAAACTTTCATTAAGGCGTATAAGCAGGCCTAAGTAGATAGCAGCCATTGAGCAGACAACATGATACTCCTCTCGTATATTGCTAGCACAGAATGGAGTTATTGTGTTATTAAGCTGACAAGTGAGAAATAAATGAGACCGACCCATTGACCAAGCAACGCATTCTTTCTCCTAGTTGAGCTAATCTTAGACCGACATTGGAATCGAAACCAAAAATGCAACGTTGTCGAGGAATCCAATAGACAGGAGACCAACTGCTAGGATACAGCCGTCAGTCGGCACTCAATAGTAATAAAACGATGCTCTTTCTTGTTAGAAGTTAGCAGCTAGCAGTGGTTGCTTGGTGGATGAATGCATAGATGGATGAATGATGATAACGATGCGAGGATGGATAAATGGATGGATGAAGCCAATATAAGATGATGATGACAGAAACACATACATGCTTGGTGGCTGATTTGAATAGAATAGAAATAATAAGGTTGAATGTTACCAATTTGCAATTAGATGATAAAGAGATGAAATGATGAAGAAAAGGAATGAGATCCGAGATGAGAATAAAGAATGAATAAAATGAAATGAAATTGAACTGAAATGAGATAAGATAAAGTTAAGTTGCGAAGAGAAGTAGCAAGATGAATGGATTGATGGATATATGAGAACAGAATGGAGAAGATGGTATTGATGATGGGGAGTAGATGCAGGATGTTGCCAGCAGTGCTGATGGCGACGATCATAATGATTGTGCTCTTGTTATTGCTTTATTGGTACGGCTACTTGATTACTTTACTCGGCAATGCTATATAATAGACACTTGTTCACTTCGCTGCTCGTCATCTGTTGTTGCTCAGTGCGATTATAAAGTGTTTAAGATTTATTCACTTAACAATGCATGATGATACGTTCCTTTCAACACCCTTCACTTCAACATCTTTTACCAAATGCGATTCGATTCGCACTCCACTTGTTTGATAACACCGCAACCACTATACTACACCAGTAACGAGCAATTACACTGAACCACTGGCTTGCTTTATGTTGATAGCTACCGCATCTAGCTCTTGACACATCATATTTGCCTTTTTATAATTGCGCATCTTTTCCCCTTTCAATTTTTCACTGGCCTTCTGCGCAAGCAACAATCCAAAGTAATTCTAGCTGCAGTGGTTGGCCTTTATGCACTCACCCTCAGTGATTTTTTGCAGTTTCAGTTCTCAATTCACTTCCTTTTGCAACTTCGCTTAAATTCACACGAACATACCCCTGAGCTGCATTAGCATTTCCAATCATGCGTTATTTTTTCGTCATTGGTTTCTTCTTTTTCAACTACTTCTCAAATTTAAAT